CCCCCCCCCCCCCCCCCCCCCCCCCCCCCCCCCCCCCCCCCCCCCCCCCCCCCCCCCCCCCCCCCCCCCCCCCCCCCCCCCCCCCCCCCCCCCCCCCCCCCCCCCCCCCCCCCCCCCCCCCCCCCCCCCCCCCCCCCCCCCCCCCCCCCCCCCCCCCCCCCCCCCCCCCCCCCCCCCCCCCCCCCCCCCCCCCCCCCCCCCCCCCCCCCCCCCCCCCCCCCCCCCCCCCCCTCCCTTCCCCCCCCCCCCCCCCCCCCCCCCCCCTTCCCCCCCCCCCCTCTTTTCCCCCCCCCTCCTCCCCCCCCCCCCCCCCCCCCCCCCCCCCCCCCCCCCCCCCCCCCCCCCCCCCCCCCCCCCCCCCCCCCCCCCCCCCCCCCCCCCCCCCCCCCCCCCCCCCCCCCCCCCCCCCCCCCCCCCCCCCCCCCCCCCCCCCCCCCCCCCCCCCCCCCCTCCTTTTTTTTTTTTTTTTTTTTTTTTTTTTTTTTTTTTTTTTTTTTTTTTTTTTTTTTTTTTTTTTTTTTTTTTCTAAATCTTAACAAAAACAAAAACAAATAACATATATATTTATTCCATATAAGGACCACCCTAATAGATACATATACTAAACTGTTTTGCAAAAAAACGGGCACCTAAGGAATTTTATGTTCTAAGGTTGATTTCAGTTAATTAATGAAATTTAATTGTATGGCGTAGTCTGTATACTTATTATCGTGTAAATTTAATATACGTGTAGTGCATACATCGGTTTTAAAGTATTCATTAAAAATACATTTTAAAAAATCCAAAATAATGTATACAGAAATAGTTGTAGTGCTTTGTATAACTGAGGGTTATCCTAACTATTAATATATTGTAAGCAGTTAATATTTAAAATTCAAAAGATGACACTGTACATGAATAATTTAATATTATTATTCAAACGTAAATAAATGTACACAGAAATTGATAAAATACACAGTTTTTGTTAATTATATTCATAGTTTACAGGTATTACTTGTTACAGTTATAAATTACTATAAACGTACTATAATCATCAATTAGCTATTGAATGTTTTATCTTTCTCATATATACCCAATAAATACTTAAATGTGGCAAAATATTATTAAGCTTCCTAATGCTTATAGTGTGTTGGTGAATATGATTATAAATTTGTAAAATATTATAAATAATTCATATTTTTAACACGGAATAAGATATAAGTACATTTTCATTGTTCCTTAATCTAATACAAAACAACATTATATAATTCGTAAAATATTGATAAGAATAGTTCACATTTAAATAAATATACTGTATAGTTGGTAAAATTAATTTTTAGAATGTTCTATCGTTGTGAAGACAAATCTTATTTAAATAATTAAGTACACAAACGAGATCTTCATAACACTTTAATGTTTGCCAAAAATTTTATCAGTTATATTTACATTCCTTATCGACAATATAATCCCAGGCTGAATAGGATCGAGAGCCTCGTGTATAAGCGGGTTCGTGAAGGGACCGTAAAGCCAAGGGCATCGATTCGATTCCCGGTCGAAGGGCTCTTTATAATTAAATTTGGAACATTTTCTCCGCCTCTAGTGGCTTGTGAGGGGTCAATGCTCTGAAATCAATTTCAATTTCTTTAGCTATTGTTAGGCGTAGACAAGGCACGATCAAAGATGTTTCGAAGACATAAGAAGATCGGAGAAATTCTCTGGTAGGGCGTATACTTGGAGCCTCGTGGGCGTGTAAACTAAAATCAATTTTCGTTTTGTTTGTCGTCTCAATAGCATTCATTAACAACATAAGCTATTTAATTGGATTTATATAACTTCACCACAAACCTAATCGGATGCCAAAATGATTTTACTGTTCCTTATTATCGCTATAATCTGTGACATAATTTAATAACTGAGTTGTACCTTTTTTAAGCTGTATAAAAATAAATATTTATCAACCACTGAGATAATTTATTGAACGACTTTGTTAGTGAAAACTTGAAAACAACAACAAACTTGAAATTTGTTAACAAAAAACGTAAAAGTTAAAAATAAATAAACACCTCGTCTTGACAGTTTGGGCACGACTGGGTGGGTCGAGTCCTCGGAGGTGATTAGACGCAGATACTTATCGACAGGATAAATGAGGTCGTCAAGGTAAGATGTCAAAAATAATAAGATCTGTATGGAGAAACGTATGGGCAGGATAATTGGATAGATATCTTATATAACTCTGATAATAATTTCAGTTATATATAAGTTACTAAGCAAATGTTTTAATTGGATATTAGATAATGTAATACTTTTGAAAAATTTGTTTGGTTTGTGTAATAGCAAAAAATATATACACCACGACAAAACAAGGTATAATTTTTACCTTTCAGAACCCTTTTTTGTTGGCATAATTTGTTTAAAACATTGATGTAGTTATATTAATTCCTTTTGTAATGAAAGTTAGAGGAACGTTATTAAAGAATTCCAGTCTAAAATGTTTAGACAGGAAATAGTTAAGAGAATAAATTGTTGTGCCAACAGTCCTGATTAAATACGCATGTCATATCTATTTAATGCGAAATCCTTTTATATGAAATCAAACGGTAAGGTAAATGATTCCGGAAAAACGGAAATGAAATCTTGAACAAAGCGAATTTAATCAAATTTTGTTTGCTTTCATCTCTACAAAGGGAACTTATGTAGTAATTTTAATTATGAAAATGAATGACGCATTTTTGCTTTCTCTATCAATAATATAACAAAGAGTGAAACACGAATTCGACAATAGTTTTAGAGCAACCCTCAGTCGAACAATACGTAAGCGGATTAACGATCTGAATTCTCATATATATCAAGACATCTTTTGTTTTACCAAAACTCGCGAGTATTGTTTCACGTCGGACATTAATAGTGTTATTGAAGGAAGTACAGCCGTAGAATATTAGATATTTACGTGATCGGCTACGCTAAACACTTTATATAATTCCTTAAGCGGCTGATAGAAATATGTTTGGACGATATCCTATAGCGTAGACATACAACTACGATGTTTATCTCGTAGCTTTATCGCATTTCGCTACGTGGTCTAATACGGAGTAATTGTGCGTAGTATTTTTAATCAAGTTTATTCTTTTGACAAACGACTCAATGTTAAATGTACTATACGAAATTAATATATGTTTTGTTTCACTAGATAACCACATGCTAACATCATTTTCACGATAATTCAATATATACTCTATTGCCACCAGGAAATATGAGAAGTTTAGTGAGCTATATGAACCCTACCTTTTCTCAAATGACAACGTCATCGTCGACACGCAGACAAAGTGATTTGGGTTATTATAACAACATCTGTCTTTGAGAATGGCCTAAATTACACACCCTGTTAATAGCGAAGTTTCATAATTGATGACATTAACGAGTAAAACTTTTTAAAGATTTAAAGAAACGTCAACTAAAGAAACAAAAGACAACTTTACTCAATATTAATAACTAGATGTACGGCGAGGTCTCAAATACAGAAGTCTTCTTCTGGATACATATCTACAAAAATATAGTCAAATTCAAACCAGTTTCTATGATTACGCGTTCAAGCTTACAAACTTTTCATATGTTTGTTTTATTTTCATGACAGCTTACTTTTGTCTTACTGTTTAGGGAAAAATATTAAATAAAATCCACTCATAACCTAAATAATTAGTATATTGTATAACCTTTTAACCTATTATATATTGCGATACCTCGTAATAATATTGTAACATATCTGTATCTTGATCTTGGAATAAGTATATCCTGGCATGCTTATACAAACACGTCTTCACAACGAAGTGTTTGTGTTCGTAACTCACTCATCCGTCACTAATTTTCTATCAACGAACCTAACCTTGTGTTTACTCTTGCGATAGGACTCATTGTGTCTCAACGGAATAGCCAACCAATATCTCGTCAGTCAGTGACAGCTACCGACGGCAAAGTTTAGTAAACTACTTTTGTGTCCTTCCTTCCTTTTTAATTAATAAGAACTTAATTTTCGGCGTCGTAGTTATTAAATATATAACACCTATTTAAAATAAATTCTACAGTGGTCCTAATAACACCAATTAGTTATAAATATGACCTAATGCCTACATTAATATGAGTTGTATGTTTTATTTTAACATCAATTACATTGAACATTACATTACCTATACATCAATACGATAATTAACACCTTTATTTTTTAATACTTAAACCTAAAACGACGTACAGAACTTTAGAAATATTTCGATAAGTATTCGCCGTAATAACATTTAGTTTTATTATATATGGCAACACATATACATTCATCACATATTTTGTCAGAGAGCTTACTGACAACATTAAAAATAGAATTGTAAACCAAAAAGATTTCCTTTATAATTTAACTGCAAAAGATGTCTCTTAGATACCAATTCAAGACTGTAACCCTTTCTATTTTTAGTAGTCAATCTCATTTTCATGTAAATGAATGTATGTAGACGAACAACTTTATGCAAATACATAGCTTTCAATTACTGAATATTATACGACATATTTGTAGCACACAGATAAATATGGCATTTACATTGAAAATATAATAATACGTCATCCATTTGACATGGAAACGAGGAATTTCATTTCAGTTATATTCACAAAAAACAAAAGAGCCCTTTTTTAATGGACTCATGGCAAGAGTTTACTTGGTATAAAACATTTTGAAGGACACGTCCCGGAGGAAAGGATTTTATGAGAGAAAGTATAGCAATAATTTTGCTGTTTATCTTTCTCGGTTCATGCTTTTAATATGCACGTCTAACCTTAACTAACATTTAATGTGATTAGCGGAAACAATAGTTCCTTATGAATTATAAAATATTAGTCATGCTTAATATATAACTAAATCATCCGTACTGAACTATCAAAAGTAATTAGCTAATCAAAAGCTGTCGTTCACTATAATTGACTGCAACAGTAGCACTAAATTGTTATCAAAGGTGAGCAGCTGTCGTAGCTGCACTACGCACTCGCTACGCTTTCACCGTAGATGTTGTAGTCAGAGGCTCGCTCTCAGCTCGTGCAGGTAGCGGAAGTAGTTTCCGAGCCAGACGGGTAAACGTGCACCTGAACTGCCGGCTCATGCTGCAATACAGCACAAAGTTAACAGCTGATCCCACCAACGCCATTAAATCCATTACTTCACCTATTAACAAAAAAAAATTTATTCATTAATGTTTAGTATCTTGGAAGATAAAAATATAAAACTAGAAGAATGTTATTATTGTATTGAAGTTTAAAACTGATAGTAACGAGTAAAAATTCTTGTAATGAGAAACATTGTATGTAATAATTATAAATAGTTAAGCCATTGTTATAAAGTCTTATGGCGTGACCAAACAGGGCGTGCAAGGTGCGCGGCAGCACCATGCGGCATTCGTAGGATACAACAACGAAACCTCAATGCGAATTAGGGATGCTCGATGATCATCGAGGTTGAAAGCAAAAACAGCGATGCTTTTTACATCGATGTTACTATACGAAAATATCGTAACATCGATGTTAACGGAATCGAACATCAATGTTACCTCACGGCCTCGGCACAACCAATGCAACTTACGAAGAAACTTAAGTCTTCTATGAACGCATTCACAAATCAGGTTTATTAAAATTATAAACGCGTATTCATTCACTGCGCGCCGGTCGTTCACTTCGTTTGTCCTTCGTAGTCTCACTCGCTCTTTCTCTCTCACACTTCCTCACTACTCTTTATCAACAAAGAAATAGATTAAAAGATTCTTCTTTATCAAAATTACTTTACATTCAGTCAGTTGATAAAAAATATCGAAATAAGAAATATTTTTTTTCTGTTTCTTAATAAATTTCGAACCATTTCACTGTATATTATCTCTTTGTCCATTATTAATGCAAAAATTATCGATGTTGGGCTTTCGATTATGACATCGATGTCAATATCGTTGTTTTTCTAATATCGATCAGCCTTAATGCGAATGCACCTGTACACAATAAAGCGCGCGGCACTTGTACAAACAGAGCGCCCATTTGGTCACGCCCTTATGTAATTAGTTTTTTGTTATGAGTATCATTGACTCAATTTCAATACTAAGAACTATGTTTAAAAATCATATACGAATATATATAATATACAACAATAAAAAGGAATATACAATATCAAAAAGTATTTTAACAATTCTAAAAGATTAATTGTACATTAATTTTAGTGAAAGACGTTTTAAAAATATATGTTGTTTCAATATTCAGAGCTCATTCCTTTCAAAATATATTAAAATTCAGTTGATGTGGCAAAGAAAAATAAACGTGAGTTCAAAGAAGCAAAGTGAAGACTCAAAGCGATAATCCATTAAATCTTAACGTATATTCAACAATTTCCTAGAGCTCATACCGCCTTGTTTACATTGGCTTATTTACCAATTATAATGAAATATCAACAATTCAATATTACTCAATCTTCTGTTTGATCGATCTTTTATCTCATACCTAAGTTTAATTTAATTTTTTTTTTCAATTCTATCAATTTCTAAGGCTAAAAAAGATTTACGATTAGTGATGGTGACTCATCCTTTTTTTGACGTTAGACTTTTGAAATATACACTAATATAGAGAAAAACATGGGACTTTAATGTTAGTTACAGAGTTGAGCGAAACTCAAGCGCTCGTAGTCATATACTATCTACTAGTCGTCGAACATATTCAGTCCTAATCTAAAAATAACAGAAAGGTTGACAGGTAAACGACCGTTAACATTAAAACTAAAGAAAATTTCCCGAAAAACTAGTGTTTTTTTTTTTGAAAAAAAAAAAGTTACATGCCAAATATTACAAATACCGTAAAATATACGCGAGCTTGTTAGTAATTAGGCGAGTAGTAGCAATAACCATTAATTTCAAATATTTAACTCCAAGGTCGTCTCATTGTCAAGGTTATTCCTATGTTAAATGACAATAAATAAATCGAAATCTTAATATTATGTATATTAGATACATCGATCATTGTTGCAATATGATAAAATATCTAATATTGAAATGTGATGAGCAATAAATTGTTACGCGACCAAATTCCAATCAATCTAGTACAATATAATGTATATGCAAGCCCAAATCTATTATGCATAGGCGTAAATTGGCATTTCCCGTCCACACGTGATGAATGTCAAGATCAAAATGTTAGATTATATAATTTTAATTGTATATGCGGATAATAAATAAATAATTTTAGATAAAAATGCTGGAAATTCTGCCAGCATTGGGTAAATTCTAACACAGGAGTAAATTTTTAGACTCATAAAGATATACGTAATAAGAACGTTATTTTATGTATTATATTTTCATTTATGTCAGTTGATTTCTGAAAATATAAATTGTTTATTTAGCAGTTTCATACGAGACGGATTTTTTTTAAAGTTTGCTTTAGTTTTAAAATATTATAATCCTTTATTAGAAACTAGCCAGCTTATGCTTTTTTGAATTCATTTGTATAAACACTTTTTTTAAGTCATATTTCCTCAGACAAGGCTATCACAAAATGAATAAACTGGAAATTTTAGTTATTATTTTATTTTTATTTATTTATTTACACTTCGTTGCAAATAAAAGAAACACAATACATAAAAATTATAAGGGATGCAACGGGCGGCCTTATCGCTAATAAGGCAGGCATCTCTTCCAGGCAACCCTAGTTAAAGAGAAAAACTAAAAAAAAAAAGAAACATGATGCGTGCGAGAAGTGCAGAACCAAATGTTATATTAAAAAAATATATATATATATATATATAGAACCTTAATCTAAAGTAATACAAAAGAAAATATTAAAAAAATAAATTGTCTTTAAACTCCTTCGATAGTGCCTACTACTCTTAAATACTAGCTGTTAATAGCCAGCTGTTAATAGCAGCTTAATACTAGCTTCATACTTACGCGTTAGCATAGCCTACGTGAGGATAGATTGTTTTCAAACATTACTTTATATATTTTCATCTAATGGCGCTAAATTTCATTATTTTAGCATCACATTTTAGCATCAGTTTAATTAATATTTTGTTTGCAGGCACGTATGTTTATTGAGCCTTTGGTGTCTGACGTACATCACCCGATCTTGCCCTTAAAACATAGCAGCTTCCCCATCCTCATTGTCCAACAAGCGTAATGGGGCACATAAAAAGAACGTTTATTGGTGTTTAGCCGGGGTTTGAATGTATGATCTTAATGTTGAGTATGGCACGATTAAGTACAAGGCAAAACCTGCTCGGCGGGACCACCTTCCGCTTGACCGTATTCAACAAAGAGCGATTCGAATCGTTGACGACCAGTCACTTTCCGAGCGGCTTGATCTCTTCGCGTTACGTAGACATGTGGAGTCTGCATCTTGTTTTTGAGTTTCATCATCGGACGTCAAGGCAGAATACAAACTATTACCGTATCACCTCGACGTCCGTCGTTCCACAACTGAGCGTATTCAATATTCTTAAAAGGTCGGCAACGCACTTGCGAGCCATGTGAGTGTCCATGGGCGATGGTATCACTTAACATCAGGTGAGCCTCCTGCCCGTTTGCTTCCTGTTACAATAAAAATAAATAAAACAACTCGTGATTTTCGCAGGTGAAGCGATTTATGATGTTTTGATATTCGACCCTATAAGGGAAGAATGGCTTTGTTGTCTAGCTCGTAAGAAAAACGGCGAAATGTGTCAGGCATAAGCTAACCACCTTGTCTACATAGTAAAATAAACAAGGAAACAGATGAAGACATCTAATTATAACCGAAAAAGAAAGTTAGTAAGAAATTCAAATTTTTTTGACTACAAATCTATAATTACTTAATAGTAACAAAAACGGCTTGCGACGAAGTGTTAGGTAGGTACTTTATGAAATATTTATAAATATACTGAAATAGAGTAAATGAATAAAAAAAGCATTATCATGCAACTTCCAAGGCAGTTTTATTATTATGATTTTATACATTTTGTATTGGCTTTACGGACCATATTTAAGTGTTTTGTAATACGATGTGTTCAGGTAAGTAGTAATAAAGTTTACGGATTCAATTAAGTCTTTCGGGTCTTTGATGCCTTTTACGATTTAGTTACACGTACCATGGTAACGACATTAAAGTTACAGGGATATATACCTTTTTGACAAAACAATGTTTGTCTATAGACTATTGTGTTTCTTTTATTTGATACGACTCATGAATTGTAGGCATTCACTATGAATTTAACAGTTTACACAGATAATGCAATAATGCATATCCTACAAGAATAGATTTAGTAGTAGTTAGAATAAGTTGAAACACTTCTATTTTTTTTAAATGTCTATTAAATAATAGTCATATAGTATTCTGCTAAAGTATACGTTTTTTATAAGTATATTTTTACAAACAAGTTTTTGGATATTTTCCGTCAATATTAGTTTTATTATATATTTAAACCCCTATCCTGCGTAAAATGCATGCACATAGAACAGCAGACTGGCAAAGCCTGATCGAAGCACTCCAGCATGCGCCTTGAGCCTCGGTGCCCATCCAGCCAACTTTAAAGGCTGTAATTATATTTAGAAGTTTTTCGAGAAAATCTAAAAGGCAGTATACCCGTGCATCTAGGATACAATCAGCTATTATCCAATGCAAATCTTATTAATAATCCGAAGAAAGACAATGAAGGTCTAATCAGATGGCACCTGAGATGAATACACTACCACAGTTAGAAAATAATAAACCTATTGGTGACAAAAACTTAAGATAGCTACCTGGAACCCAGATGGGCTAGTTGGACCTAATTCTAGAAGAAGTGGAATTACTACTTCAGTTATGCAACATAACATATTACTTAGTGTCTGAATCTCACCTTACAGAAAATAACAGAGTCACATTACGTAATTTTAATATTTATGCTACAAACCATCCCAACGGAACTGCACATGCGGGAGCAGCTTAATTATAATCAAATATCAAACATTATGAACAACCACAGTTTCGGAAACCCTACATACAAGCTACAACGATTGCAGTTATAGATAGAAACGGTACTTATTAATGTATCCGCTATCTATTGCCCCCAGGTCCTATAAAGAAGAACGTTTTGAAGAGCTTTTTTATATCACTGGGGCAGCGATTCATAGCAGGAGGTGATTGGAATGCCAAGCATGTTCATTGGGCCTCTAGGCTAACGACAACAAGAGCTTAAGAAAAGTATAGATAACCACAATCTCACAGTGATTTCAACGACGGACCGACCAACTGGCACGGACTCAAACAGGCTTCCGGACGTCATAGACTTCTTCGTCATGAAAGGCCTGTCTAGACTTTCTTACCAATACAACTTGTTTAGACTCGAGTACAAACCATGTTCCAGTTATATTGACTATTGGAATTACTGCTTTGAGCAAAGAACACAACCTTAAATTGTACAATAAACGACGAATTGGAACTCATATCAAGAACATATGGTCCATGACAGACTAGACCTAAAAGTTGCCTAAAAAGTGAAGCAGACATTGATCACGCAACTCGGTTACTAACCGAAGTGATCCAAGAAAGCTGCTGGATGTCCACGCCCGAACTCACTGCTCGTCCGCCACAGAGTAAGACCTACTCGGACACCATAGGACAAAAATGATATTAGAAAAACTTTTTGAAGGCTACGTCGAATATGGCACAGTAGTAGACTGACAATGACAAAACGGCGCTTAATAAAGCGATACGTGATAAAATCCCTAGTATCCGAAGCTAAGGAAGCAGCCTTGAGTAAACACCTGGAAGGATTGACATCAACAAAAGCAAGGAGGAAGAGAATACTGCTCATCTGTATTGCTTGACGTACAACAGGCTCTTTGACAAAGTGTGGCATAAGGGTCTTTTGGTTAAAATTAAATCCTTATTGCCACACAGCTGGCCTACACTCATACTTGTCTAACAGAATATTTCAGTTAAAGAAGGTGCCAGCACACCGGTTTGCCAAATTAATGCTGAAGGTGTGCCACAGGGCTCAGTCCTCAGACCCGTCCTGTACACACTGCTATACACGGACCTACCACAGGGCCCAGAGATTACTATCGCCACCTTCGCTGATGACACGTTATACCTGCAAGAGAAGTCCCATTCTGGCCTCTAAAATCTTACAAAATGGCTTAAATAAAGTAGAAGGCTGGTTGGCCAAATGGAGAATTGCAGTTAGTGTGTCCAAATCGGTGCAGTCACTTCACGCTCCAAAGGAAGACTGCCCCCCGTCACTCTATATGGCACCCAATTGACCACATCAAAATAATTAAGAATGCATGCAAAATATTTAGGTATGCATTTAGACTGCAGACTCACCTGGAAAAACATATCCAGACAAAGCAGGAGACCGAAATTAATGCCAAATACAAGGGTACGGTAATGGGACGAAATTCAAAACTTTCCACTGACATAAGTTGCTTTTGTACAAAACCATTCTCAAACCCATATGGACATCGGAATACAGCTTTGGGGATCTGCTAGTGCCTCAAATATAATAATAATACAAAGGAGCTCAACACACATAGTCAAGCAAATATCAAACACCCCATGGTTTCTGAAAACTACAGAAGTCCATGAATTTTTTATTCCCATGGTAAAAGAGGAAATAATCACACAGGTAAACTACAAACTAAGACTTCAGCACCCCGATCTTGCTAGCAGGACAGCGTAACTCTACCATGAAACTAGTCGACGTATCTAAAAAAGGACTTCGGAGACATTTAAAACAGGACAACGCAACAGACTGAGTTAAAGATAAGGATACAAGGCTCGCTGGGAAAGCGCCTAACACGTCAATAAGCTCTAACTATCAACTTATAGTCGCAACGACCAAGTAATGATTAAATGCTAGGTGGGAAAATATTAGTTTTATTATATATTTAAACAAGTTACTGTCACAGAAACACTATATGTATAGAAGTTAGTCTACACAGTACACACTCTATGTATTAAAATTAAGCAATTATAATACGTCATCGTTCACATTGAAGGCCTATTTTCAGGTTCATTCAGCGCGAGATGTTTCACATGTTAGGCACATAATAGAGATCCCATCATCGCTCATTCTATTAAGGCTTCTATTGCTATGTTATTTGAACTTAACAACATATTCAACGAATACGAAACATCTGCTTCAAACATCCATTTAACGGGCTTTAAAAATCGAAGTTCTGTATTTAGTATATATTTTTTTTTGTTTTTTTTTATATATATATATACTAAATACAGAACTTCTAAAATATATATGTTTCGTATGTTTTTTTTTTTTTTTTTTTTATAGAACAGGGGGCAAACGGGCAGGAGGCTCCCCTGATGTTAAGTGATACCGCCGCTCATGGACACTCTCAATGCCAGAGGGCTCGCGAATGCGTGGCCTTTTAAGAATTGGTACGCTCTTTTCTTGAAGGACCCTAAGTCGAATTGGTTCTGAAATACTTCAGTGGGCAGCTGGTTCCACAAAGTGGTGGTGCGGCAAAAACTGCCTTGAAAAACGCTCAGTTGTGGAACGGCGGACGTCGAGGTGATACGGGTGGAATTTCGTATTCTGCCTCGATGTCCGATGATGAAACTCAGCTGCAGGTATTATAAATTATTTGTATCCGAACAACTCCTCTGAACACTCTCCATGGTAAAAGCCGTTGAAGATGCAGAGTGACCTCACATCTCTACGCAACGCCAAAGGATCAAGCCGCTCGAAGAGGGATTGGTCGTCGACGATTCGAACCGCTCTTCATTGAATACGGTCAAGTGGAAGGAGCTGGTACTGGGGAGCCCCCGCCCAGAGGTGAGAACAGTACTCCATGTGGGGCCGAATTTGCGCTTTATATAGTTGCAAGCGGTGGGCCGGAATGAAGTACCGTCTCGCCTTGCTGAGCACACCAACCTTTTGTAAATAGAAGCATAAGTATTTAGTATATACATATAAACCTTTATAAGTATTGTTAATATATATCATAATTTACTTAAAGTACGTGCTTAAGAAACATACGATTATTGTTAATTCGTGGGATAACTTTTTAAATAATCATACCAGTAATATATGATAGTGGGGTAAAGCTCTGGATGATCTTCTTATTGTTAATAAACATCACAAAAACACAGATATGTCTATCAAATTGCTACATTGACTTCACGCCCTATGTATTATTTTTAAAAGTCTTGGGTTAAATTCGATAAAATCGTATAAATTTTTACGCGATACTTACCAAAAGAATAATAGCATATTTCAAACAGCTGTGGAGCGATAGCTGTCAGTAGCCCGAACAGAGCTTGTGGCAATTCCGTAGCGAGGAAAAGGCCCAATAGAGCGACCAGCATCCGGGTAGTGCGGTCCGTGCGACTTCCGCCACGCTTACCATCATCGTGTAGCCGACCTTTTTCACCCTGTAGGGAAATTGGAATTTTATAAATTATTAAGATTATTCGGCGTTAAATAATGTAATAAATAGTTTATATACGTTTTAAATATGATGTACTTTCGTTAATGACATGACATTTTTGTTATAATAATTTACTATTTGATTTCGAAGGATTTTGATCCTTTTAAAACTAATAAGCAGATAATAATTGTTCGATAAATTATTTGGTTTGTAAATAGAAATGGCTGGAATTGTTAAAGTTTTAGGAGCAATGAACAAAGGAAACGAAATGAGCTTTATACTCTAAGCTTTGATCGAGAAACTACTTTTAAATATAAAGTTTCGTTGCATCGCAATTTAAATAACTCAGATTCAATTTAGTTTTAATAACTCAACTCTGCACACGAGCGTTTCATATTAAGACTAATCTAAGCCCGTCTTTCTTTTAAACTGCTCTTCATTTATCAAAAGGTTGTGTGATTCATCAACATCCCTCGAAAATTCTTGTTTTAGATACGAAAACCACATAGCGAAATAGGTCAAATTCTCGAGTTTTCAAGAAAAATCTACCACGTGAAAATAAGACGAATCATTTAAATCTAAATATTTTATCCAAGTAAAAATATTTTATATCTCCTATTGAGATATCGAGCTCAAAAGCATTGAAACCATTATATATTCGTATAATGAAGGTAACTTTAATCCTACACGGTTGAAAAAATTCAAAGTATCGCATCCTACGAACACCAGATGAAAGGAATGAATATTATTTGAAAATGTACCCGACACGGTACATTACACCCGTTCTCACTTAGCCCGTAAGCGGTGACACGTTTGAGCGAAAAATAATATACAATAGTCGATACACCTTTATGTATCAACTACCCATTTAGTAAAGTGCTTGAATATTACCAATTTAATACCTAAAACGGAACGGCTGTTTCTTATAAAGGCTTTGCATAGAAATAGACTACTAATGGTTATTCGTTTTTAGTTAAATAACAACATATTTTTTTAGAATATGAATATTTTATCATACCGATATAATTACATTTAATTTAATTGTCTCTACCTGTACTTCTGTCTAACTTTGATTGCATATTAAATGTAAACGCTCGCTTGAGGGATATTCATAGTACAATTCTAAAGTAGAGGCCGTAAATCTCAGCTATAAGGTCTGATATATTCCCAAGATTCCCTAAACGTTTGAGAAAAAATATTATTCAAACAGGTATTTTTCTAGATATTAATTGTACTTGTAGTATAAGGAATGTCTTCTGTATGACGCGGCGAATTATGAAAAAATTCTAAATATTTATTCTCAGATTCCCAGTAACCTACAATTCAGTCACGACTTGATTTCTACTTATCTTGCGCTTTTAAATGTAATCATGTCTAGAAATTTCCTGATCATCCTTATCATAAATGAATATTACTTATTTATTTAATGATTTACTTACCTCTGTTGCTGTGATTGCAGATTTATTCAACAGCTTTTGTCTTCTCTTGTCGCTAGATTTCATTTTCAATATTAAACAAAAACTAAAAATTGACAACACTATACAGGGTATGAGTTTCAGAAATACACTGTATATCCAAAATATAGCTGTCAACAATTCTTTGTTATTCGTCATCGTTAACGCATAGACTGGTTCTCTTATTGAAGATTCGTTTAGGTGGGTTGCATTTATCGTTTCATTCGACTCTCTATTTGTGCCTGGTACCTCTTGTATGTGCATAGCAAAATAAATTGGAAGGCACACGATCGGACACACTACATATGCAAATCCAATTGCAATATTTGTATTCCGCTTGTTGCATAGAGTTCTATTCTTCTGGGGAAACTTTATAGCTATGTATCTCCAGACTGCAAGCGTTATGGTCAGCCATATGGAAATAGTGTGAAACGTCTGACTGAATATCGAGTGAAAATACACGAACACCGCCCAAGCGTAAGAATTTCGATTAAGATTTGCACCAATTTTGATGTAAATGTGCAGCGCAAAGGGGACGTAGTCTAGCATTACTAATAGATCTGCAACCGCGAGCGCTGTTAGAATGGAATTCGTCGATGAAATCATTTCCTTCCGGCTTAGCACAGCGATGTTGACGGAGTTTGCGATAGATCCGAGAAGGCAAATTAGTAGGGCAATATAGCCATGAATCTTTACGTAGACACGTTGAAATTCAAGTCCACCAGGCAAACAGTAAGCCACAACATCCCCATCACTCTCCAAACTCGACATACCTCTCGGGTGTTAGGCGTCTTGGCGATTAGAAGTTTTCAAACGTTGTCATTTTCTGAAAACAATAAACGTCTCATTTAATAAAGCTCTTTTGTGGCGGTGTTTTAAACATAATATAACGTCATTAACAATGTTGCTGACACATATTAATGATGATAAAGTAACTGAATTTTGTTCATTAAAATTAGGTTGCAACAACCTATTTGTTTTCATGATGTTGGAAGTTCAATTAAAATTACAGTATAATAAATTCAATTACTAATAATAACTTTAAACAGTACAGGTAGACCCATAGATAAAGCATTATAATCGTTTTAAGTACACTTGAAGCGTAAAGGGGGATTAATATCTATGCTTGAGTTAAATCTGTTATGCCCTCCGACACGATATGCAAAACTACAAACTATGTTCTCCAGTTATAGGAAGCTATTACCACTCAAAAGTTTTTGAGTGACGTGCTCAGAGCTCTTTACATGACTGCTGTAGACAGATAGATATTTATTTATGAGTTTGCGTAGGTTTCATCCAAGAATTACTTAGCGATATCGAAGATTTACTTAAATCAATATTTCTTGAGATAAATTTAAGATCTATAAGCATCTATGTTAATTAATTCCTGGTGTCTGAAGGTATAAGATATAGGGCAGACACATTTATGCGTCGAGTTCATATTTTTTTTTAAACAAGCCAACCAGTTATGGTGATCAGATCAAATACTGAATACCCAAAAATGTAATCCAGGACGGTGAGTGTCTATTCCCATGAAGTCAGTAACTTTTCTGAATATAACTGTCTCGTTATATATAAAAATATTTTACTAAAAAATATTCAAATCGATTAGCAAAAGTCTCTGAATTATTTATGTTATTTCAAAACACTGTTTACAATTCATTCAAGAAAGTTTTACTTGTCTTCTTGTTTGGGAATGTATATCCTCATTTTATAGATGTTTTATTTTATTAATAATTCAATTTTAGTTTACTTTGCAGCTTTGAAAACAAAATCGTATATCAATGTCAACATGACATTGACAGGTATAAAGCCACAATGAGATATAAATTGCAAGAGAGAAATGTACTTTTATTTCCATCATATCAAGTACACAAAATAGGACAATAAAAGTGTGGTTGTGAATTTATCTTTAAAGCACCCTTGGGCACAATTAAATAATAACTTGGTCGGATAACAACACTTATTGGTATAGGATTACCCTTTTGTAGACCTTGGGTTTCCTTAAAGTTTCGATGCTATTGAATAATTATACTCACAAATCGTGAAGTGAGTATTTGAACGATGTGAACCTTTTAACCTAAGTGACTCTCGTGATTCTGCTAATGACCTCAACCCTGAGCCTTCATAAACATTAAATAAGTCGGTAATTAGCAACCCAATGATAGTTTAAATATTGATTGATAATATTTTCTCGCAACATTTGTATAGTTTTATGACTATGATAGACAATGATTAGTCTCTATAGAAAAATTATATTACCAAAAATTATTGCTAACCATAAACCACTTCACCGCCCGCTGTGTTCACCCCAGCTCAAAAGAAAATCATAAATTTATTCAGAAGGTACAATATTTATAAAAGTTTTAGAAATTAAACCAAAAAGAGTTGTTAATTGTTAACTTTGTTCAAGAGGGTAAGTTGTTGAATGAATAACCGAAATTATGCCGAGTGTAATCTAATTAGTTCCAAATTTAAAAGGCGAAACTACCTACGAAAATGCCTGTGAGTCAATGTCTTCCGTTTTTCCATTCAATGAATTTTAGGGAATTCGTTATATGGGTAGTTCTTATATAAAAGGTTTTTCGTCTATGGAGGAGACGGCCAAGAAGAAAAGTTGGAGTTTTTCCATTATGTATTTGTAAATATTATTACTTTTGGCCAGTTTATGTATCTACTCACATAAGGGCAAGATACTTAAAACATATTTTGTCACAACTTTTAGAGGGCCAGGAGTAAATACATCAGGCAGGGTAGAGACATGAAGATCAGTGTAGATACGTATTTGACCAGGGGAGATAATTAAAAGCAATAAAACAAAGAATACAATTGAAATAATCAACTTTTATCAAAGATTGTGTTTTACCACTAGCAAGCAAAGCGTCTTTGTCTAAAATATCTTTGTCATTTATAACAAAAACATTAATGCTAGGACAGTTTTTCTGAATAGCATCTGACAATCGCTCAGAATGCTATATCTTTGCCATCTTATCTAGCTACCAATAGGTCGGCTGATCTTTTGCAAACAGCACCGACACCATCTGGAACTCCCTTACCGTGTCCAGCTTCATGGTAATTCCAGGTAAAGTCTCTAAGAGCTGGGTAAAATTCTATTAAATGAGTGACAAGAAAATAAAACATGTATTTGTTGCGATATTGTGTTACGGGTCCATCGCTCCAAAAATGAAGGATCTCTACTTCTAGTGGCAAGCTGTTCAAAATTGGCTGTAAGTATGCCCATATAGCTGGAGGCGAATGTTACAAATTTTGTGACATCGAACAATAGCATGATGTCTTTACTTCACCCGATGCCTCTTCTTTCGTGTAAGTTACAACTGTGTGCAGACTTATCTGTTGACGTGCACCTCCAAAATGGAATGCTTGAATTTCTCCTGCGTATTTTGTTTAAAGTCACTAAGGTCCACGTGAATCACAGCTTCTCTTACTGTCAAATTTGTCTTATTAATTTTAAAAGCAGAATGTTGGTGGACTATATTCAGTTCATGGTGAAGAAAATACTCCAAGTTGTCTTCTAACTGCATAATCAAATCACGTAGATAAATCTGAATCACCTTTTTCAAATATTTAGTCATTTTTCTGGTCTTATGCGTTTTAGGATCAGTTATATTGGTAGTCTTTGACTTTGACTTTACAAAAAATTTGATTACTAATATCGAATTCTTTGTATAGAAGTCCTTTATTTTTACAATTGATGCATTCTCGCGAAAGACACTGTTCGTTATACCTATTGCAACAAATTATACGAAGAAGATTTTCATGGTTTGAAATCGGTGTAACTTTGGCTTGGAATAGTGCCGTAAGAATCAGATCCACATTGGCATGTGTAACACACAGACAATAAATAGGTTGCACAATTACTATGATACATATCTCCCCTGGTCAGTAAGTCTCGCCCCCTGGTAGTAATCTTACCAGGGGAAAGACGCCAGGGGAAAGACGTTTTCATAACATAATACATTATTTTGGTTTATACAAGAAAGTTTTCAATTAATAATAAAGCAAGCTTTGACTATTACAGTATTACTAAATTAGGACAGGAATCGCAAATAAATAAAATGATTATTATAACTTTTATTACTTACCAGTGGAGAGACACAATGACCTTGCGAAACTGGCAAATGGCGTCGATCTAACCGCTTCTGTGCTTAGTATCGCTAACTTCACGTTGTTAAATGTCAATTAGCGAGTTCGGGAATGTGGCCATCTTATATTTTATATTGTAGCAGCGGTGCGAATATTGCCAGGGTAGATACACAAAAAAAGCGGGACAACAATTCAGTTTAAAAATTATTGAAAATAAGCAAATATTTTTCAATTTATCTTTAATAATATTAAAGTATATTTACTTAAATTTGTGGTAAACATAGTTTGTTTTAGCAAATAATACAAATATTGTATGTATTGTATGCTAGTTAAGCTGAAACCGGTAAGGGGACAGGCCAGGGTAGAGACTTTTTTAGACTATATAACGAGTTTTACAAAAATGTGCTTTAATTAGACATTTAATTGTAATGTTATTTAATAAAGGACATTAAAGTGATGTGATTTATTGCACAAAATAGCAACATATAGATTAAAAAAACACTTTTAAATAGATTGCCATCATAGTTACCTCTTATAAGAGAATCACCCATATAAAGGTGTACAACAGAAAATAAAGGTCTCTTATGGGTAGTTATTAATAGAGTGTAAGTTGCCCTCTCCTAGATCACATCGACTTAGTCTCGTTTTGTTTTAAAAATATTACACAAAATCGATGTATATATATGACCCAAGTTTACTAATTGACTTCACACACACTCTATCTTCCTCTCTCATTTTCCTTTACGAGGCATTTACATCACGTCATTTTACGTTTTACCAAAAGAAGTTTAACATTTCCGTTTCCTACATAAGTACTAAAAGGATTTCTTATTATAACATAAGTTATGTTAATATTGTATTCATTTTAAACCTACGTTAATATCTATTTACTTAGATCAGGTGAAGTTGAGGCGTGTTTAATAATAAAATTCATAATTATACGATCATACCCAGCGACGTCAATAACAGACTGGCAATGAAATTATTTCGAGTATGTCTGTCTACGAAGCCAATTATTTAGGTTTTATAACTGAAGAAACGTCTCAGACGAACAGATCAGAGGCTAAAAATGTTGTTTATAAAACGGGAATAAACTGCAAATATCATGCGCTCGTATTAAAAGATTTCAATATCCATTTGACGTTTTACATATGGAACAAAAATCTCAAGTTTTAAAAAATATTTTCGAATATATACTCAAATGTATTAACTGACTACGAGTATACTCAGTACGGTCTTTATTATATAAATTGTATTTTCATCATTGACGCTATTTATAATATATCCATTAGGTACTTAAATAAAGATTTCAGAATAATTTGCTGCTTTAATAAATGTATTAGCACACGTCAATCTTTTTTAGATTGATTAACTAATGAAGTTCAACCTTTATATTTAAAGTGAAATTTCTAATCGTTAAACGCGGCTTCATTATAGCTGGTAATTATGAGAAAATGTCCAAGAATGTACAACTAGAAAATACTATACAAGATTTATAAATTTTATTTACTGTTTTTTATGATGAGGCCATAAAGTATTCGAGTATCTTTTATTATTATTTGTCTCAAATACCAACACAATTGATGAATCCCCTCGGGTTTCACTATCTCTTGACAAGAGACGTACTCAATATTCCAATGAAAAATGTTCCGCAATATTTCTACGTG